GGGTGGGATATAGGGCGCACTTAATAAGGAGCCTCACTCTGTTGTGCGACCCTCACCACACTCTGGTGAAAGTGAGTAAATTAGTTGATTTTAGTTATTGGCCCTCTGACTGCCTGAGTCGTGTAATAAGAGAAATTATTCACTAGTCTCTGCTGGGAATGAAAAAGGTAACAGCATAAAAAGGGGTTGTGGTCACTCTTAAAGAGTACATTAAAAAATTAAACTCTAAAGTTTGTCTTGCAATTCACCCTTCAACTCCCAGAAGTGATTAACATATAACTTCTTCCTATAATAACTATACATTATTCAACAAGCAGGTAATGAGAATACTCCAACTTATCAGGTAGAGGTTGTTATCTTGTTATCTCCATTGGAGCCCTGGCTAAACTGGGCAGAATTAGTGGAGGAATTGAAAGCACTCCAGAAGTAGATCGATTGAGTCATATCTATATTTAATGGTATAATAATGTCAGATAACAGGGCTCGACATTAACAGTAGCCACAGACTAGTAGAAATTCAGTTTTGGCTAGTGGTTTTCGATTCCCACTAGCCAGTTTCGCTAGTAGTAAACAAACTGAAATTGCCATAACATCTAAATTGCCAACAGCCACTTAGCTAGTAAGTTAAAAAGTCAGTGTGGAGCCCTGGTTAAGAAATCTGAAACAAAGGATATCATGTTTATACTTACCAGTAACAAGAGCTTCACTTTCATTTAATTTCCACTTTTCTGCAACATCATTAGCCAAAGGATCATCTGGGTTTGGTGCACTAAGAAGAGCTTGGATGGACAACAGAACTGTGCGAATCTGAAGAGCTGGGCTCCATTTATCTATTTTTTAGAAAAAAAATTCAAGCAGTTGTTGAAGTGAAGGTATGTCCAGCTAACAACTTTAATCCATCAGGACTGTGGTCTAGCAGTGCCCAGTGGCCCCTGGCACCTTACTTTTGCTCTTGGGCAACTCAGGAATTTTTGTCTTTTCATAAAAAGCATATGCTGGGAACCCTGGATTTCACAGTTTTGGAGCACTAGGCTCCCTTCAATTTTTCTTAGGACACAGCCTAGATCCATTCCTATACAATAACTTTGTTTTGGAAATTTTTATACATACATGCATGAACAGAGAATGCACCAGTGCCCTCTACCTACAATAACGGTTGCAATTACTCCTTTGACTCCCAGGAATGATTAGCAAGTAGCTTCTCTCCATCATTTCCATACATTACCCAGCACACCGGTAATGAGAATACTCAAACTAATCAGGTAGATGTCATTATCTTGATCTAACACCAAATCCTCGTAGCTAACTTACAGATAGATGTGTAGCAGCTAGAGGGGAGAATTAAGAGTCAGATCTTGGGAGTTTAAACACGAAGGCGCGCTATAAAAGGAGTCTTAGGTCCCACTGGACCATTTGTCAATCAACTGTCGTGTGATGTAGAACGCTTAGAGTCAAGTCAGCTTGAGCTACAGCTAATCCAAAGCCGTGAACAGTGGGCACAGTCCTAAAAATTGTTTTATGTCTTCATCACAATACAAGAATTTTTGAGATTTGTATTTCCTTTCTCCAATGGAAACTGTCTTTATTTGTGGCGGTAAATTTGAGATCGAAGTAGGTGGTTCGCATGTTACCTCATGCCACCATGCTGGTGGAAGTAAACAATAGATATCTCATTAGCTCTTTTTGTTTGTCTACCAGCATTTGAATTTGACCCGCACACCTCAACGATAAGTGACAAATGAGCCTAGGTCTTCCCAGGGAAGACTTCCTTATATAGCGTGCCTTAGTGTTTAAGTATTGATGCATGACTAATTAGGGTGCAGTACGAACAAAGAAGTTTCCAGTCAGTTTTTCCCATAACAAACAAACACACAAAAAAAGTTTTTTAAAACCCATCAATAAACAAGTTTATATGAAAATAGAACAACTAGCGTTAACCTAAGAGTAACTAAATTTTCAACGTTTTTTTCAAAAATAGAGATCAACTCTGATCGCATTTACAAAGTATTTCATTGATTAAGAATCACTGCTGATCTTTTAACCATCAGAAGCCGCAGCGATCAGTAAGAAAGATACGTTACGTAAGTCAGCGTCTTTCGGAAAAATCAAACGTGAATGTGCATTAAATTTTAATCGGCACCGTACCTTTAAGAATATCCAAGCAGATTCGTCCGAGTTTGTCCACATTAGGGTGGTAAATTTTCGTCATAAATCGAACCTTGGGTGCAGCCATTGGGTACTCCTCAGGCAGAAAGAGCTCTAGCTTAAATTTCCCTCCCTCGAATGGAGTCTAGTATCCGTAATCGCAGAACAGAACGATTAGCACATAGAGAATTTGGATTAAAAAAATACACGACTTCGTATCAATCAAACTCATATAGAACTGAGATCAAGATAAAGTCAGTTACCTCAGCGGGACCATCAATGACGACATTAAAGTATCTAGCGTTATCATCAGCTGGGAAAGCTGTTATTCCAGGCACTGGCTCTGAAACCAAACGTTGCGTTTCCTGAAGAGAAACAAAAAGCGGCTTTTTCAGAATTTTGGGATTTCATAGCTGGGGCTACAGTTAACAAGATCTTGGCAAAAAAGCATCAAAGTTCATCATATTTGCTATTCAGAAGCGAAAGAGTGCCGTAAAAACTTACCTTTATAATTCTTCGCGGAAGTCCGCCTGCCATATTACCGCGATTTCTAGTTGATATTCACCTGGAAGTTTTGTGATGTTCCAAAATGGCGTATCGTCCTTCGTCCTTTGATGAATGCTGGCTCTGTGAGCCCGCAGTACATAAACCCGCTTTTTTTTTCCTTCCCAGTATTCCTCGACCGCGTTAGTTTTTTTCCCTTTCGTGTGAGGTCAGAAGCAGTATGATTAACTTTCAATTTTTTTCCCCAGCTTTTATTCAGGATATGATTGTTATCTGTTGCAAGGGGAAAACGAGGGACCCGAAAATGGTTACATGCTGGCATACATATTTCTTTGAGAAACTTGTTAAATAATATGTCCAAGATTTTTATGGGTTTGCTGCTGATCCCCTCCCCTCCCCCACTAAAAAAAATCGCCTGCTCACAAAATCCCTTGTATTTCATTCCGAGATCGGCCCATGTGAAATTTATCGATATTGCGTGACTCTAACAACTTTTTGGTTTTCAAAGCGTCAGCCTTACGCCAAAAATAAATTGGCCGCCGTCGCTATTTTTAAAGAAAAGAAAAGAAAGGTAAAAAAAAGTCTGATCATGCGATAATCTGATTATTTTCAGTTTGGAAATTGTCACGAATATGTCACGCGCGTCACAATCATGTGCTTTCCATCTCAGCTGTCACGAGACTGTCAGGTAAGTTGCGTGGAAAACCAAAATCGCAACATGGCGGCTGGAAGAGGACTTGCCGAGGTAATCCTAAATTTTCTTTCAGCGTTTTAGCGTGAATAAGATAACTGAAATTGAGATACTAAGTTTATCTTAATTAGAAAAATCTAGAGAAGAGATAAAAATGGACGCGTTTGAGAGATAGATCGTCGTGTTTGAAAGACTGCGCTACGAAACGAGACCTGTAGCTAAAAAGACCGGTGTTTTTTCTTCGAGTTTCCTTTAGAAGCTTCCGAGCGGTATTACGGTTTATTCACAGACATTTAAAATTTACCCTTCGTGGTTCGAATTCTTACTCGATCGACGATGTTGTTTAGCACATGGAAGGCAAAATTATTTACTGACCTAATATCAAGGTAGCCTCTTATTTTGTGGTGCTTTTTGGAATGAAAGATGTAACCCATTTCCTTGCTTTTATGTCTTATTTACGTGATATGGTTGCTTATCTACTCAAGTTTTTTTCTGTGAGGATACTAAACCTTGTAAGATATGGCTCTATTTTGAGAATCTCATTTCTCTAATCAAGTAATTGTTAACTGTTGTACCTTCTTTCCCAGTGTTTTGACCGTCATCTCGTGCATTCGGTTCCAGGCCACCTGTGAGCAATCCTTATCATTCTTTAGCTCTTAACCATTAAACTCCCATAAGTGACCAAGACATAATTTCTCCTTACAATATCAAAACAACAATAAGAAGACAAGTGATGCGAATGCAAAAGAAAAATGTAAATTAGGGAATTATTAGTTGATCCAATACCAAATTCTCTCAAAGTAACATCAAAAGAATTGTATGGCAGACAGTATGGAGGATTATTATCCAATTGTGTTTTGTAGAGTACAAATAATGCGTAAGACGAGTACAAAATATCATGTGAGTACAAATATCATGCGATATTTGTACTCCAGAAATTTCTGCGAAATTCACCCGCACTGAAATAACAATTTAGCGTGTTGGATAATAAATCTCTTATTAGACGTTTAGTTGTGTAGTATCGCGAGTATTTTTACTCGTTGTTTGTATTTTAACTCGCCCTATGGGTTCGTCAAAATACGGTGCAACTCGTAAAAATACTCAACGATACTATACGACAAAATGTCTAATAAGATATATTTACTAATGAGATCTGGAAGTGAAAGGGTTTAAGGCTCTCTCACACCTGGTGGTTATATTCTAGGGTTCTTTATTTTATTTTGTTTATTTTGTTGTTTGTTTTGTTGCTTCTAGTCCCACACTCACAGACTACTTATTTTACTCTTGGCTTTCTATCATATAAGAGATGACAAGTGGTGTAGGTGATCAGATCGCAGAATTTGTGAAAGAATAAAAGTAGATTAATTCTTGTAGGTAACTGCTGTGATTTTGATTTTTATTCATCACCAGGATCAGTTTCTTGACAAAGCTGTTCAAGTTTACAGAGAATGTGCCAAAGTTGCTTCAGTGTCTAAAGCAAGACTATCAATACTTGAGCAAGACTCAAACTCCAACACAGTTGAAATAAGCATCAGCTCTCAGTGGTCTCAAAGAGATTTGGAAAGAAATGAAAATCACAGCTTTCTCAGAAACCACATTGCAAGTTATGACACTACATCGTTGAGTTTAAGTAATATCAGGGAACCTTCTTTTCCAGTGGAAACTCAAAACTTGTAAGTTCAATTTATTGAAAACCCTTAATTTGCATTAATGACCAAGACAGAATTTCTCCCTACAATATCAACACAGTAGCCCAGTTCCGAATTACCCTTGGCCTCATTTTCAAAACAAGTCCTGGTGCTCATCCTTTCATATGATAATAAGTTTTCATTCACATGCAAATTAAACTCATTTTCACAAGAATGGTTGAGCACCAGTCCTCGTTTTGAAAAAGAGGCCAAGGGTAATTCAGAAATGGGCCATTTCAAGCAGACAGGTGACGAGAATAAAGAAAAAGATCAACGAGGGGATTATTAGTTGATGCAATACCAAATTCTCCAAAATAACATTGTAAGAATTGTATGACACAATGGAAGGTAATTAGATCTTGGGAATGAAAAAGTAAAGGTGGCCATATTTGAAGTATGGTTGAGACCACAATATCTTTTTTGTTGTTTTCTAGAGTATTGAGGGAATGGCAATAATAGGTTGCATGTATATATTAGTCATACATTTTCTTAATGGACATCCCCCATTTTTCCTTTACCTGATAATTTTAAACACAAAAAATAATTTTAATGACCCATATATTTTATGGTTGTAATTAGATCAGTATGTCGAGATTCATCTTTCTGCAAAGTTCTAACAAAAGTTCAATTGCATATTAGGTTACTAGCTACCTTGAACTGTCAAACAAATAAGGTGGCTCTGTACCATTGTTACAGCAAGGTTACTGAATCTTTGGAGTTCATTTTTACTGTGGTAATTATACTCAATTCTCAGTGTATAGATATTTTGTGAATATGATTCTTTATTTAATTAGACAACTGTGGAGTACTTCTCTGAGTGGACGGTACCAGGCCATTCTACGAAAAGTACCAGGGAACAAGGGACAGGAAGATAAACAATTCCTGGAGGTAAGAAAATTTTGGTCTGTTTGCTTTTAAAAATCTCAAGGGCTCTTTAACCCTTTAATTCCCAATTGCAAGATCTGGTTGTTAATTCTCTTTTCAAGCTGGAAGTGAGGCACACTCACTCCAAGAGCTCTCTGTCCATCAATTTTTTTTTTCAATGAATTTTTGAATTGCAGAATGGACTTTGCCAAAAAGGAGGAACACCCTGTAGTCCATCAACTCCTTTGACCAAACTAAGTAGCAATTGCATTACTTGAATGTGCAGAATCATTTTTGATGTACACTTTTCATGAGATCTGGCAATACTTTCCTCCATAATTAGTTGTAATTTGTAGTTTCAGCCACCACTTTACAGATATTGCAATCACCCCCTCCCCTCCCCTCCCCTATTAGGTCAGAGGACTCCTCCACACTCTCTCTCTTTAACTATAAAGCTTTATAATTATCCATATTCTGAACAGATCTGGTCTCGGAGTCATCTTGTTAAGAATGTTGATGTTTTAGCTTGTGAGAAGCATGGCAAAATTTACGAAGATTGTGAGTACTAACTTTCAGACATGAAAAATTTTAATTTTGCACAGTACTAGTAAATTATCTTTTTTCTGATCTAGTTAATGGCTAAAGTTATTTGCTTTGTTTTCGTTGTTGTTTATGAAAAAAAGTAGCCATGCTGTTGTATGCTTAAAACACCCTTATAACAGTTAAAATGATAATGATAATATGGCCATAGAGTGCTGGGGAGCTAGGAATCCTGCCTGTTGCCTGCAAGCACACTTGCAAATTGGATGTGATGCAGAAGTGTCTTGTGTACTTCTTGCAAAGTCGTCAGAAGGTGATGAGAGATCTGGCACTAAAAGGGAGACCCAGGTCTGTTTCAAACCTCCAGCTGGCTCACCTCACCTTCCAGGGAGCTTGCAAAGCCCACAATATGCTGGTGCAATAACAGCAGTGGGAGTCTGCCAGCAAGTTAGGAATCAGTGCTGGCTTAATTGCCACCAGAATGTATCCTGGGGCCCGTTTCTCAAAAGTCCTGGTAACATAATGGGTCCAAAGCCATGTTTTAAATTCAAAATCAATTTTAAATGATAGGAAAGCAGGTTCTGGCACCCAAACCAGTCCTTTTTGTTTCTTTAGCTGATAGGTTTATTGTATATTTTCAAAACTTTTGAAATCTCCATCTTGAATGAAAACAGAACAGCTTCACAGGCCCATTAAGTTACCGGGACTTTTGAGAAATGGGCCTCTGGTCCCAATAGTATGAATCAACCTAGTGTATCTATGCCATTCCTCGGATGGTTTCCCATTCCATTGGAAGATTACTTGACAGATTTTCCTCAGCATTTCATCAATATCCATATAATTTCCTGAATAATTATAGAGGCAAGGTGATAGTATAGGGTCTTGCTCAAGAACACAACACAGGGCTCTTACCTTATAAGTGTAAATTAATGTGAAATGTCATTAGCCATTAAAACTGACAGTGATTTTTATCATCAAAAATAATTTGGTGTATTAATTTTGTAGCACAGTTTGGTTGTCTGGCTTGGTCAGTATCAGAGAAGTACCTGTTATATGTGGCTGAAAAGAAGCTGCCGAAAGCTGTTTCATATTTTGAGAAACAGAAAGGTACCGTAGACACTCAGCTGTTTTGAGAAAGGTTAGGAGAAAAAAAGGGCAAAAGTTCCTGAGAGGCCTAAAGCACCATACATGAACTTCATAAATATATTAATTTTTTTTCATGGCTTATTATAACTGCATGATTTTTTTTTTTATGATGATGTATCATTAATTATACAATCATGAATTCTTTTATGTTAGGTGAGGTTGCCTCGGACAAACCCCCTCCAGAAAAGGTAATATTTCTGTTCTAGCATCTGCTAGGTATGGTTAGCTTCAATTACTCTTTCAACCTCTTTAATTCATTTCAATTCATTTTGATTTAATTTCAAGGGAAAGAAATTTGATTTCAAGGATGACTGGGGGGAGCAGCTTGTCTCCAAGTGTTCTCCTGTTATTGTTTTGTTTGACATGGAGAATGATGACATCAGAGTATTGGAAGGAGTTCCTGATAACGTGTCTGCAGGCCAAGTGAGTATGAGGATGACAAAATGGAATTGAATCAGAATCTACTGGGGAAAATTACAGGCAAATCGCAAATGTAATTGTTACTCAGCAGTATCAGATGAGCAGTAAATATAGTCAGGGTAAATAAAATAAAATAATATAGTCTGAATAAAGGGTCTTTGAGTTCGGCATACTCCCCCTTAGAGCTGATTTCGGGCTTAAGTTTTCTAGTCTTTAGTGCCTCAAGGAGGCGAAGGTTTCCTGAGTCATTGTGGTTGTCGATGATGTCAAGTTTTATTTTTGCGTTTTTGGTGATCCCTTGGCATAAGAGTAAGTGCTTGAACACGGATGATTTGTCGTAGGTTGTTTATTTTCTGCATAAACCTTTTGTTGCGACTATTTCTACCGCATTTACATACCTGCCATTGTTCTGTTCTATTGACTGCTGAACCTCTATGATCTAGCCTAACACCTCACCTGATATGCTCTTCACTTCAAAGATTCCATCTACATTCCCTGATGATGCCGTAGATCGGCGAAAGCTCGAAAAACTAAATTATCTAGCGTACCTGGCCTCACTTGACTTACACGTCTGACTTTATAAGTTAAAAGGCATCTTGGAATTGATTCAGAATGGAAATGAATCAGAATGGAAAAGAAGTTGATATCTATTTTGTTCCTCAAATCTTGTGACTGACTTTCTGTTGTCTAAATTTGTCTGAAATCGTACTTGTGATTAACAAATACGACGCTCCTTCGCGTCCCTGCGATTTTGAGTTCAGTCATTCTAATCACCGCAGTCTTAACTGGACTCCACTAGGATTCATGATCATAACCAAAGACCGATGTAGTTCTTGTATTTTTCAGGTCCGCTGGGGTCCAAAAGATGAAAGTGTTGTGTTTGTCGGTTGGTTCAATGAGCCGTACAGACTTGGCCTCATTTATTGTCCTATTAGAAAGTAAGATCAATTGAAGAGTTAAACTTTTGGGATTTCAAGGTGTAGACAAGGTGGCGTAACGCTTAGCGCGGTCCAGGGCTCGACAGTAACGGTAGCCAACTAGCCACAGACTAGTAGAAATTCAGTTTTGGCTATTGGTTTTCGATTTCCACTAGCCAGTTTGGCTAGTAAACAAACTGAAATTGTGGTAACATTTAAGTTGTCATTTGCCACTTGGCTAGTAAGTTGAAAAGTTCGTGTCGAGCCCTGGCGGCCGTCCGTCACATTCTCTTAAAATTACGGTGTCCAGAAAGGCAATGATCTTTTCATTTTGTTCATTGAAAAAACGGGGTAAATTATCGCGATCACGTCATCTTGTTATCTATACCCCCATAGACCACAGGTGTGGACCTATCAAATTACATTCAGAATCCAGTCATTCTTGCAATAAATTATGTTTCCTCTTCTGTCTTCAGAAATGCCTTGTACTCACTATCGCTAGATGGAAAAAGTCTAGGTGAGTCTCACGAGATAAATTTAACGTTAGGTGATATCTAAGCAAAAGAACAATACTTTATTATAAATGATTCATAAATGCATTTACCAATTGTGTCGTACCCAGGGGATTCGGAGCGAAATAGAAAACGGCGCGAAGGAGCAGAGAAGGTTTGGGACGGGTCGCGTTCATTACAAGACCCGTCCTAAACCACACCAGTTTTGAAATCCGCCGCTTCTATCGTGCTTCGGTTTACTAATTGAACTCTTGAAACAAGTGAAAATATTTCAATTGAGTTTAACATAATTACCTACTTTTGATTTTACTCAGAACAATTGACTGACGTCAAGTACGCCGTCCATTCACCCCGCTTCAATCATAAGAAAGACAAATTGGTAAGGGAGAAAGACATTGGATAGTTCTAACTGTTATAGTATGACAAAAGACTGCGAATTAAGTTTAGTGCGAACCATGTATTGGTACGTTGCAGTAATTCATAAAGGATGGAAAGTGGAAATTCAAATTTTTTCCTAGCCTGTTAGCAGGCACTTATCAGCGCTTTAGCGTGAATGTATGCTCGCCCACGGGTATGTATAAGGCCTTGAGCAACGCAAGCCGGCGCCAGATCTGCAAGTGGTCTCAGGTCTGATTGTTGGCGCCAGATCCCCTGCTAACTCCCCCCCACCCACTCTCCCTCCCTCCCCCCATTTCGTCCCGACTCTTCCCGCGGACGGAGAAACGCGCGTCCTGCAGCGCTAATCATGAGGACCTGGCGCGAAAGAATACAAAAAGAATACGCAGGGTGAGGAGGAAGAGAGAAATTGTAATTTGAAATTCAAAAACTGCTCACAGGAAAATCTTTTCCTTTCAATTACAGCAGTATTCCCAATTTCGGTCTTCCCTTTGCGTTCCGTACGCATTGGCAATATGGTCGTCTTCGTCGTGATAAACAACGAAGTGAACCTGGCTTAATTTCATCTGTCATTCAGTCAGCCGTTTATACCTTGTACATATGTTTCATTAAAAAAGTTAATCCACGTTAAGATAATTTATTGATTTGAAAATCGTTTTGCAGATATACATGGCACTGGATATTGGTGGGGCGCATTTAAAATGTGGAAGATTAATGCAGGTATGGAGGTATTGCCTTCACTTATTAACCGGTATTGCGTCTTTTGTTTTTGTCAAAATGTAGTTTCTGATGATTTTCCAGACGAATGCCGAAAGTCTCGCGAAGTACACCTTTCCTATTTTGGGAATTTTTTTTTTTTTGTTTGTTTATCGCCGGCGGAAGTAAATTGACTGACAAATTTCGCATTTTATCTTTTAGTATGACTGGATCGCCAAGACCACTTCAACTATTATTGATGTTGTGGACATTCCAGAAAGTAAGAATGGTCGTTTGCTCAACAAATTTGTTTCTGTCAAAGTGATAGACTTTTATTAAGGAATGCTATCCCCCGCGACATCGGCAAACTTCGTCCACTAATATCGTGAAAGAGATAGACTACGAGCAGGTTCTCATTATTAGCGCCTGGGCACAAGTGACTTCGCGCGCGAGAAAGTGTGAGGCCTTGAGGAACGCGAACCAGTCAGCAGTCTGCAAGGGAGTCTAGTCAAACCCTCGGCGAACCTCTTCCCGACTCTTCCCCAATCTTCCCGCGGTTGCCAAAATGAGCGTCCTACTCGCAGGCTAGGATATTTGAGTGTCGCAAATGAGTTGTGTTTACATTGCCAGTAGTGGTTGAACCACTAACTGTGTTCTTTTCTTGATAGAAGGCGGATTTCCAGGGATATACAACCTGTACTTAACACTCGCTGATCGATGTTGGACGCCAGATGGACACAGTGTCATTCTCTCCACCGTGTGGAGGACTTCACAGGTTTTCTCACAAATCCTTACATTTGCACCTCTTGAAATAATTTTAGTGAAATGATTTGAGTTACTATCAAAACTACTGATAACAGAATCAGCCCTTGATTTGTAGACTTGAGTAATCAGACTTTACCTGTGGGATTTATGAGCACCAGGAGGTATTTTTTTATAGACCAATGAAATTGCACAAGTCCGTAGGGCACGTTCAGTCATGTTGGAGATGAAATAACGAGGCTTCACGTCACCTTTAGGCTTTAAGGATCTATTAAATAGGTCAGTACGTGAGACATAAAACAGTTGGTTCTGACATACATTCACTACTTTTTATTCCTTCAGAAAATTGTCCTCATTAACTGTCAAGACAAAACAGTAACAAATTTGACTCCAGGTGAGTCTGCTTTTCCCATGATGCCAACCGAGCCCAAGAGCGAACCGTGCGGGCCCTTAATTGGGGCGAAAAAACGCGGCTCTGTAATTTACAGTACGGAGCGGATGGATATTGGCCACTGTTGGGAGTCGTTATGGCTGACGTTTCGAGCGTTAGCCTTTCGTCATTCGGTCTGAAGAAGGGGTAATGATCGAAACGTAAGCTTTCGAAACACTTACAAGTGGCCAGTTTACATTATCAGCTCAGTTCCTATACCGAATTACCTTGAAATACTGCCCCCCCCCCTCCCCACCGACGCAGCACCACACTTTCCCCCCGTGAACATCTTTGTTTTTAAATGCTTTTCTTTCTTCCCTTCACTAGCTCCTGGATCGTGGAGCTACCTTGATATCAACAGTAACATCCTTTTAGCTTCGTATTCGTCTTTAAACTGCCCACCAAAGTTGGTAAGTTACCTTTATTTTCTTAGCTCATCTTAAAATCAGAGTACTTTTTTGAACACTAGTATCTGAGTTCATTGTTTTTAATTGAATTCGATTTTGGACTCAAGTGTCCGATTTTGCATTTTAAACCGTAAGGTCTGATCTTGGATTTTGGACACCAGTATCTGATTTTTAGTTTTGGACAGTGGTGTCCGATTTTGGACGCTGGTGTTGGGTTTTAGACACTTGTGTCCGATTTTAGTTACAAGAGTCTGATTTGAGGCAATATCGTTCAATGTGGATACCCTTCGCCCTTTTTTTTGTCAGATTACAGGGCTGCAAATAACGGCCGGTCAACGGACAATGTTCGGTCAAAAAATTGGATACTGACCGGACAAATCCTTGGATTGCCGGACATTTTGTCGGGTCCTTTGCCGAGTCGGTAAAGGACTGTCCAAAGAAATTTTAATTTTTAACTGTTTGATAATCACAAGGGACAACATTCATGTTTCCGAAAGAAAACAAAAAAAACAATATAAAAGTAGACAAATTAGTGGTCGAGAAATTCCCGACAGTCGCAAATTTCCACGATGTCATCAAGTCCTGTCGGCAAAGTGTAATATCTAATTATAAGTGATTTACCCAGATGTAAAGTAAAACGGACAATTGCGGTTGTATCTTGCGTAACCGTTCCACGTACTCAATGCGAGGCTGCTTCAGCAGTAAAGAGTAGTAAAATTATTAACCTGTAATTTTTATAGCCAGACCGACTTGGATTCAGTTGTTTTTTACTTGTAAAAGGATTACTGTGCCAACTGCGTTCACAATCGCAAGAGTTCCGACTGTTAAAATTTGACCGGCCAAAAAACGGGTAGTGTCCGAGCAAAAGCATGTTTGACCGGACAACGTGACCGGCGACTGCCCGTTACTTTTTTGCAGCGTTGGATTAGAACACAATTATCCAGGTCATTTCGGTACTGTTTTACCAACGTTGTTGTCACTTAAAGAAGCTCATTCATTTTCTCTAGATGGCGGCAGCTTTACCAACTGATATCCTGGAATCTGGCTTGTCTTGGATAGAAGTAGGTCAGTAAACTATTTGATCATATGAACCTCTTTGGAAAATAGAATACATAAACAATAGCCTTAATTTGGCTCGAAAATATGCTCGGATATTTTTCCGCGGTCAATCTCTGTTCCGAGAGGCGAACAGCTTTTCGCGAGCAAAGGTCGAACGAAGCACTCAGCTTTGATAAACTATGTTCGGATCTTTTTCGGCAGTCAATCTCTGTTCTGAGAGCCGAACTGCTTTCTTCGAGCAAAGCAGTCAGCTTCGAGAAACAGATAAGGTTTAAGGACAAATATACGAGCATAATTTCGTGCCAAATGGAGGGTAGTGTACTCGTGAATCGTTTTACTCACTAACTGAACGCATCAACTCGGTGGAGTTCACAATCTTTGCAGTTAACTTCGCAAAGGACAAATATAAAATGTCTGCAATAGTTATATCGAGCGTTTTAAAACTAACACGCTCATTGGACCTGATGCTCTTGACCCGTTTGTTTTAAACTTTCTTCGTTTTGATCCAAATTTCAAAAATATATTTTACAAATAGACAGTTTAGCGTGGTCTGTACTATTATTCGTCATTACAGTGGTCAAAATGTTGTAGACTCGCGAGGCGCAGTGGAGTGGGTCGGCAACAAATTTTTACCTCTGTGTTGACGAATATCGTTGTCGATAAGGGTACAAACCACGCTAAACCACTATCGATTTTTTTTTTAACCACAATGTTGACGTCAAATAAAACGATTCTTTCAGTGCGTAAACATTGCGTGACACGTTGACGGGAGCAGCGTTCTATGTGTTCTTATCGACAACGGCAAATTGGCCAATCAGATTGCAACATGACTGCTAATTGTGGTAATTTTTTTGTTATCAGATCTCTTTGAGGAGAACAAAAAACCAATTAAAAAAAAAACCTTTTTCCTGAAATTAACGGAAGATTTAGAAATGAAAATGATCTTTCTCATTCCATGGGTCATAAAAATAATTTTCACCTATTTATGATTGAAGATTACGTGACTTGCTACAAGTAAGGTGTCCTTTCTTTTTCAGCTCATTCTGAAATTCTCAACCTGGAGAAGGAAATTACATGGAAGGTGATGACAGTTGCACCCAGCGAGAACTCAGGTAAGAAAGTGATGGGAATAAAAGAAGAGCTGATCATTTTAACGCAGAGGTCTCAATAAGAGCCGGTTAGCAGCATTATTCCGCCGCGTTAGTCCCAGACCTTCCTCAGTTAAGCCTACATTTCATTCACACGATAGGACCTGGGTATGAGTTTACCGCCGCCTCTAAGGCCACTTACCGTTGTTTGTTGAGCCTGCGAGCAGGCTCACGCGTTTGGTTTTCGCCTCATGGTCCCTTTCCGGGCACAGCCACCTATTACACCACTGGCAGTCTCTTAGGGGAAAAATTATTAGAGAGATTGAGTATCACGTTTACGTGAAACGGTAAGTGTCAGCTTGCCCTTTCACGTTTCACGTAAAATAGCGAGAACCTTGCTGCTTTAGCTTCGCATGAGCTCATGTCATTGGTGGATTTGTAGGCGCCCTTGTATAGGTTAAAAGGAAGAGTTTTGATGTCTTTTCCCGGCAATTTACTTCTACTTTGTGGGAGAAAAAGTGAAGACAAACTTGCGCACAAGGCAAACGTGTAACATATTACTTTCACGTAGAAACGGCAAAGCGCAACCGGCAAACGTGAAAAAATGGCGGGAAAAACAGTCACGTGGTCACTCTTGCCATTCACGTTTCGTGTCAAAGCGGGAGTGCATCTCTCTATTCAGGCTTCTGTAACGTAATGTATCTTTGTTTACGTAGCTTTTTACCTTTGAGCGCTATTTTCTAAAGGAACCTTAGGAATATTAGGTTATTTTGTTCTTAAGAAGCAGTTTTATCGACACTTTACACTTTGCATAAGTAGCGAGTTAATGTAACATTTAACCAGGAAATTCAGCGATAAAAAATTGTACACTTTGTCGACTCAACAGATTTCAAAGATGAATATGAAGCCATTTTCATCAAGCCAGTGTCGAGAGACGAAACGAAGCCCCCGCTTATAGTTTTCCCACACGGGGGACCCCACTCTGCCTTCATGTCAGATTTCTCTCTCTACATTGCTTGTCTCTGCAAACTTGGATTTGCAATCCTCGGTGGTAAAGTATACATTGTTTTGTCACGGTTTTATAAAGTCTTAACGCCTTTGCGGTGAGAAGGGAAGATGCAACAAATCTTGTCTCTTAAGTGGTATCAACATGACAATATTTTCGACAACAAAACTTTCGACGAAAACGAAACCTCCCAACTAAACGCGGCGAAGGCTGACCGTGGAATGCCTCGCCCTAGTAATCTCAAATTACAAATTAGGATCCAAAACAGCACTTTATCCCGATTAGGATTAACTCAAATTTCATGTTGTTAAATCGAACAGTTTTGCCAAACTGTGCGCGCCTTAACCCCTTGATCTTCGTCTTACTCTTCGCTAGTTAACTTCAGGGGATCGTTAGGATTTGGCCAAACACAGCTTCATTCCCTGCCCGAAAACATCGGAACGCAAGATGTTCAGGATGTGCAGGTAATAGTTTGGGGGCGTTTCACTGGTCTGCGCAGGTGCAAATGGTAGCGCTTTCACTTAATTTCGTTTATTTGTAAGTATACAACTTGGGTTTGATAAAATTCTTTGAGCTTGAGAATGTAAATGATAGTCAGTCCTTTACGGTGTTTTAAAACTTTCACGATTACTTTTCCGAAAACTTTGAACGGGACAAAAGTTTGCTTGGGCAAATTATGGTCAGAAATTGTTAACATTGTCTCTCTTTTTAGCTGAAGAACTTTTCAACCTTGGACTCTCATGAGTGACCAAGACAGAATTTCTCCTTGCAATATCAGTACAATATCAAGAAGACAAATGATGAGAATAAAGAAACATATCATTAAGGGGAATATTAGTTGATCCTATACCAAATTCTCCAAACTAACATCCTAAGAATTGTTTGGCAGACGGTGAAGAGAATTAGTGTTATTTGGTGGAATTGTGTAACTTTTAAGAGGAAGTTTTACATAAGAAATGTTACAAATCAGTTCAACGCAAATTTCCGTCCGCAGTCATGAAGTATTTGTTCTAGAATCTTGTTTCTCTTTCTTGTAGCGTGCGGCTCTAAAGGTTCTAGGCAGTGGCGAAGTCGACACATCAAACGTGTTTATTACGGGGGGATCCCACGGGGGATTTTTGACAGCGCATCTCATTGGAAAGTATCCGGTAAGAACACTCGTGATTCGCCTCTCTATGCTAGCGTGCAGAGGAGGCCTAATTTTGGCGAAGCATTTGTACAGTAGTGATATTGCAAGCTCTTGGTGAAAATTATAGCGGCCATCTTTGATTTTATGGCAGCGGAAGGCTGGGGAGAGAAAGAAATTTGACTTTAAATCGAAATTGGCCGGTTGGATGAACAACCGCGAGCTTGCAAAGTTAATGCCCCCTGATAAGACGCCTGGGTTGCAGGCTACATCTCTGTTCGCAATTGTACTTTATGTACAGTTTTTCTTCTCTAAAGGCCACCAAAAAAGCGACAAGAATGCGCGCCTTGTATGACACGCTTTCGTTCATACCACATTTTGACGTTATCGCTGAACAGACGTACGGCAACATGGATTCTACTTGTTAAGTTGATTTCTATAATTTCTCGTGCTATCTTTTTGTTCCTTATGGCACATTAGGATTTCTACAGAGCTGCTGCTATGCGGAATCCCGTTGTAGAAGTATCATGTGAGTAGATATGTACAATTGCGGGCACCGTTATCGGTTTTTATTGGTACTTGTTAAGTATGTAAATCCCTTTAGGTTTAGAAGAAATAAAAGAAATCTCGGAAGAAAAAGAGAGAAGTGGCTTTCCCCTCCAGGCCACCGTAGTTACTTGCTATTTTTTGTGTGAGAAATATGAGTAAAAGTAAAAGAAATGTAAAATTGTGGTCTGACAGGACAATCAACCCAAATACTTAGGTACATCTTTTAACCTCACCAATGCGATTTTCTTATTGCACGATACAAACAATGAAGCAAACAATGCTCTTTGAAAGGTTTCTTTGTCGCGTGCGGATTGATTTATTGGAATAGTATGCCATACAACTTTAAGAACATGTTAAGACCGTTTTCAGGCTGAAATCGTTAAAAGAAAGAACGTTCGGCTTCGGCCCCAAAAACGTTTTCTTAAAATAAAAAAGGTGTGTATACACTAAGATATGAATTTTTAATGCGCTTATCTTTATACTCATTTTGTTTTTGTTTCTGTTTATGTTTTTCATGGTTAATAGCTATGGTGAGCTTATCAGACATTCCGGATTGGTAAGTCGGCCCTTTAGTAATGAAGAGAAATTCTTGTTATTTCTGTATTTTTTTAGTAGAACGTTTGTTTTGTGTAACTGTACCAAGTTTGGCCCAAGTCGAGAGTTAGGTGACCTAGATCATGTACAGAGGGCCAGAGGAACATTATCTCAGTAATCTTCGATACAAGCGTGAGACGTATGGTGTAAATAATAAGCGGTAATCCGTAGTTTTACAACTAAGATTTAGAGATTCGCTGTGCCTTCAATATTTTTTTCAAAAGAAAAGGAAGTAGACTGCGGAAATTAGGAAAACGATCACACTTGGGTTTCTTTCCTTTCTGTTTAAGATTTCTTTCTCTTTTTTTCTTTTTTTTTCTTTTTGTTTCCTTTTTTTTTTTTTTTTGCTTTGTTTTTGTTTTTCATTCTCTTGTTTTCTTCTTCTTTTTCGTTGTTTCAATTTAACAGGTGTTTTTTTGAAAATGGAGAAGAGTTTTGTTATGATGCTGTCCTAGATGGTCAAACATTAGCCAGCATGTTTGAAAAGTCCCCTATCGTCCACATTAAAAAGGTAGGGGACATGCGTGAAAGTAAACGCGTTTTTCGCATTTATGTTGCGTGACGGAGGTAACAAAAGGCACATGTGGGAAGTTAAGAAAACGATAACAGTCTTTTTATAGAAAATATTCATCGAGATTTCATTTTGTTGCAGGTTAAAACGCCAACTTTGATCATGTTGGGAGAAGATGACCTTCGGGTTCCTCCAAGTCAGGGAAAAAAATACTACAAAATTTTAAAGGCTCAAGGGACTAAGGCGAGGTAAGTTCTTACTATAGACGGTTACAGGAAGAGCTCCATTCGCAGAAAATTTTTATGTGATAGGTCGAGAGAGAGTGGTGCGAGCTCTCTGGACCAATCACAGAGCGAAGTAGAGCAAAATAAATCAATTTTGGATTAAATTCGCCACTCCGTCAAAAGTTTCTCTGTAAAAGAGCAAATGTTATTGATGTTGACGTTATATATGCGGCTATGCTCCAATAGACTATGAATATAAATGCATGTTTAGTTCAGCTTACTGTACGACATTATATCATACATATTCCAAAATTGTTTTTTTTTTTTTAGGTTGCTTTCGTATCCTGATAACAACCATCCAATCAGCAAAGTCGAGGCCGAGAGCGACGCACTTATAAACATGGCAAGGTGGTTCCATGAACATTTGTTGAAGTAACCTCCGGCCTCTATTCCGTGATCGTCACTGGCAGCGTGGAGAGTGGACTCATAAGTTTGTGTATCAGTTCCTCCGCCGTATAAAGGAGAGACAACCGGAAATAAAATTTGGTGCAGGATACGTTTTCTCTGTCGGACGAAAATGGCTTTCCGTAGGGAGGGGGTAAGAAACGTCTTTCCATCCCCACCATGAAAATAAACCATTTACGTTGAAAAAGATAAAGAGCAAGTTTTGAAGCTTTTTTTTTTAAACTACAATTGAAAAGGACGTTTAAAACGTTTCTTGAACTGTCGGGGGTAGATGTAGCTGCTCGATATAGTTTGTTGTATTACAGATATCATTTAAAAAGCTATGGTTTGAGAATATCATTGACAATTAAATTAAAGGTGTAAGGTAATTTAAAACAGTGTGTTAAGGAGTGTGAAGCAATACCACTCCGATGGGATACGTTTGAATCATGTTTTACGTAAGTTGCTGTAAGCCTCGTTTTCAGAAAGAGGCGAGAAACTCCTATTGAGAAAGATGTTATTTTGTTTTCATCATCAGTAAAAGTTTGATCCACGATTTATAGCCTGACTTTGCAAGTGATATTGACTCTGTATAGTGCAACAATTGCTTAAATGCTTATTTAGTTTAGTTGAATTCATTCGCCACAGGAATGGCAGGAGAAAGGAACAGAACTTTCCTTACAATTGGCACCTAACCCCTTTTTTACCCACCCATCCCATCCCGGGGAGGACATCCATCACACAGTAATCTCGTGTGAGGGAAATTAACGTCTCCTACCCCAACCCTGCTGGAGACGGGACCTCCATTTATCGTCCCTATCCGAGAAGACTAGAAAGTCTAACCATTTGCAGATATTATTACAAAGGCAGCACTTTCTTCTCAGTTAATTAAAGACCCTGAGTGTAAAGGTGTAGTCTGATCGTCCGGGTGAGTGTAGTCCTGAGAAGGACTGTTGTCGGTGGCAGTGACTGACGTTTCGACAACAGTCCTTCTCAGGACTACACTCACCCGGACGATCAGACTACACCTTCACATGTTGCCCCCGGGTTCAAGCCATTTACTGAAAGACCCTGAGTGTTGGTCCGGCCGGATTTGAACTCACGACCTCCCGCACAACAGTCCGGCGCTCTACCAATTCGGCTAACCGGGAGGCGGGAGATTTGCTATTTTGTCCACTAGTGGCCGATTTGGGATTTTGTCCACTACTGGCAGATTTGCGATTTTGGCCACTAGTGGACGAGTAGCAATTTTGGTCACCAGTGGCCGATTTGCGATTTTGTTCACTAGTGGCAGATTTGCTATTTTATCCACTAGTGGCAGATTTGCGATTTTGGCCACCAGTGGCAGATTTTACGATTTTGGCCACTAGTGGCAGATTTGCGATTTTGTCCAGTGGTGGGAGATTTGCGATTTTGGCTACTAGTGGCAGATTTGTGAATTTGGCCACTTGTGGGTGATAGCCTCTAGTTGCCACTACTGGCATTTTTTCAATTTTGGCCACTGGTGGCTGAATTACGATTTTAGCAACAAGCGGCCGATCTGTGATATTAGCCACGAGCGGTTGATTTGCCGGCCACTAGTGGCCGATTTACGATTTCCTTTCGTTCAGCATGCTCTTCCGAGGAGCGAGGGTAACAGCTGCGGTAAGATGTGAGTTAGTTTAACTTATTGAAACTGAAAGGATCTGCGAAGACTTCGTACGCAACGCCTGCCCAAAGTTTCTCTAATTTTACTCTTTATTAGAACCTTAAAAAAAAATAAACGCGTTTTATTTTGCATGAAACCAAAGCATTTACCAAGCTAAAGGGAGCGCTGGTGGCAACTTTGTGGTTTCTAAGACTAGGAGTTTATATCCAATCTATTGATCTAAGCAGTACAAGTACAAAGGTCTGTTAGTGTGGCTCTTTTCCCAAGGCATTCGATTCATCACGCTTTTCAAATTTCTTCTTGATTATTAATTAGCTGACCGGTCGTGCAAACTAAACTTTGCGCCAAATGTATGACGTATCAGCCGATTATTGGCTGAAACTGTTAATCCATATTCATCAGTAATTGTAGAATCTTCAGCAAACAACGTTGTCTATCGAAGAGTGAAGGTGTGTCGTCGTTTTGTAGCAAATATAAAGTTACAACATAGATGAAATGCGACACCTGACTCCCACAGAAGAGCAAGGAAAGAAGTTTGTGTTACTATGAAAAAAGGTAAGCATTTCTTTAAAACTTTTGTCCAATTTTTATGTAGGGAAGCTGAGCAAGTCTTAGCTAACGCGTCAACACGTGTCAGCTGGTTGATTCGAGCGGTTTGTCAGCTTGAAGTTCGAAGGTGTTGCCCTTTGCAGAAGCTAAACGTTATCTCTGCAATAAGCTGTAGAACAAAGAAATTACTATCTTTGTGGATAGATACTTGAATAAAACAATTTTGAGAAAAATCTGTAGTTAAATACCGCCACCTAAAACTTGAAAACTTCTGTGCCAAATTTCTCCCCTGCAGAATTTTTACAGGACAGTACAACAATACAATATCCATCCTTCAAAGCTTAGTACAATTTCTTGTAAGTAATTTCAAGCTGTTCCTAATTACATCTTTAACTTTTTATTTTTAGGAAAATAAATGTTGTCAGAAGGATGGAACTCAAGGATCAAGAATCTGGTCAAGAATAGAAAATGGATCCACAATTTTTTGGAAGGATACTGCAAAGATAAGATCTATAAAATTGTTGAGTAACTAGCAAAAATGATGGCTGTCTAAATATATCTTGTGTATGTAAGACTTTATTCCGAACCAATATGTACTTAGAATTGGATGGAATAACTTGGTAAGTGATTAGTTTACATTTCGCCACCATTTTTGAATTAGTTTCTAATGATACGGACTGTCACACAGACCTTGATCGACAGTAAGTTCATTTGACATCACTAATACCTCTAATTTGGGAAAAATTCATCTTAGAACCTGTCTGCGGATTATTATCTTATCGCAGGTAGCAACCACATTTTTACTAAAATTTGACCACAAAAATACTGAATTTTTTTATTTCGTAGCAGTGATCGCTTTTTTGCTTGACAGTTCGTATCATTGAAATATCTCAGTTGATGTTACAAAAGGTGATATTTGTTAAGTGGCAATCCAATGAAAGAACTTTGACAAAAAGAAAATGAGAGCCTAAAATTAAAATTTGGGGTTGGAAGGAATAGATTATAATTTACCCTTCTTTTCTTTTTACCTTAATTCATCAAATGACTGAACACAATTGACTTACAAACTACACTTGTGACTGTGACATTCAGCGCTTAATGATTACCTCGCGACAACGACTGACTTTGGAAAGATTGTTTACAAACAGAAGACGGACTCCTCTCAACAGATGTCAAAAACAAGCATCTGACAAACAACTTCTATTTGAAATTGAACTAAACGCTGAACAAAAGCTATTAAGAGACCGTTCTGGATAATTTGAATGACGAATCCAAAGACATCAAGCAATGACTGATCTATGGATTGCACGAAACATATATCTCGACTTTAATGACTTCTAATCAAACTGATGAGACTGGGTTAACCAAAACAGCTCTTTTCTGGCAAGACAACACTTAATACGACAATTACACGTGACCATGGACTGTTTCTGTCTCATTTTTTCCAATAAAAACCAACTTGATTTGATACACGTATCAATCTCGACAAGATCTAAATTCAGAAGTTAAATTTTTTCATAGAGAAGTAGTTCTTTAGCGAAATTGAAACAAAAGCCTTTACAGTGCCACATTAAAACTTGTATCTACCGTTTTGTATTATCAACTGAGGCCGAATCTAGTTTGCAAGAGAACATTGGCTACAAGGTTACAACAAGATTTCCAGTAACTGTACATTGTGATTAGGTCTTTGTGCGTGGCAATGTTCTCTTGTCTTTTTAGAAGCTTTATATTTAAATCTTAATGCCTGGTCAAGAGTACTTCAAAAAACTTGCTGAAGATAGATTGCATTGTTACATAAATCAGTGGTAAATGAGTTCCTAGGAGTGATTAGATAGAACGGCGAGAAATTCAAACAAGAGAGCTTGTCTGCAACTTGAAAAATGAATAGATCACTTTCAAAAATGGCTGCCGGATTAATATTCTTTTGTTCAAATTTAAATTAGCCCTTCTTGCCTAAATATCAATTTTCATTTTTCGAGGAAATGAAATTTAATTGAGAAAAGAAGATGCAGAATTTTGTTTCGCATTGCTAAAAAATGTTATTGAAATTGACGGAGAGCAATTCAACCTCTCAAGCTTCATTGATTCTTCTAACAAAATCGCAAAACATTTCAATATATTACAGAAATATTTGGCGCACACTTGACACTTCGTTTGGACAATTGATATAAGGGAAAAGAAAAATAAATATGCAACCGAAGACACAGTATTCGCGCAAGAATAAATATTTTTCTTCAAATTCTTATCGGAAAGACTTCCGTGTAACCCTTAGCCATTCTCTAAAAGAGACTAGTCCCAAAGGCAATCTGTTTTTCCGCCATTGTTTCTTTTTTTCAAGAACTGAATACATATTGAGTATCTGGCTGAAACCACAATCCAACGATTTATTCTATTGCCTTCTCTTGTTTAGAACTCGGTACTTCTAAATTCTGATGTTTCAATTGCTGTCATTTTTGCTGGTTTATGTAACACTATTTTCTCAGTTCGAACTGTAAATTTGGGCTTAATTAATCATGAAGCAAAATTTATGAATTTTTAATACAGTCAGCGTAATAACTTCATAGTTGCTCTTAAGACCAGGCATTTGGTTTTAAATATGTAGTTTAGATGTTCATTGTTTAAGAAGAAAGATCTTTGGTGCTGTCATTCGGTGTAACACAGGACTACATAAACGAAACTTTTAAGAACTTTGGCAGTTGGTTCTTAAGTGAAGAGGAAATTGAGGATTTTCGATTATAAGGAAAGAAAGCAAGCGGAGTTACAGGTCAAAATCTCGTTTTTTATTGCAAAACTGTTTTTCAACGATTTGTTTTGAAAACTATATTAAATTAGTACATAGCTAGCAGAGTCGCGCAGTCAAATTCATTATACGTAAGCGTGCTCAAAATCCCGATAGTGCACGCTGATAGCGTCAGCAAATCCGAGTTCGCCAGAAATTTTTTTTTCGCGCGAGCGGCCATTGCTAGTGCGGGGAAAAATAATACATTTCGCGACAAGAATGGATACAAACAGAAACTCGGCCTGCTAGTCCGAAAACGAAGACAATGTTTCGACCTTTTCCCATGGGCTAGAGTTCTTAAATGAGGCAGGAAAAGAGAAAAACAAAGGAAAAGGAGACTCGGCATCAGCGCCGTCACGATTTGCTTCAACTGATATTGTTGTCCGTTTTTCGCGTCGCATTTGATGCACAATTCCACCGGCTATGTTCTAAAACAATTGGTTCATGCTTTCAGCTGTGCACTATCGAGTTATGGAGCACGTAGGAAGTTTGGAGAGCACTCAAGAAGCTAGAGTTGCCCTCGGCTATCGCCTCGGGCAACTCTTACGCTTCTTTCGTGCTCTCCAAACTTCCCGCGTGCTCCATAACTCGATAGTGCGCGCTAAAGCATGAACCAATTGTTAATTATCGCAAGTTTTGTTTTCTCTGAATTAGCGAAAACATTTTGACTGGAGCCTAATTGTGAAATGTCTCGGCTCTTGTAACTGAAACCAAATTAAGATTTATATGCTCCAACAATGATAAGATTGTATTTTCTAAAATTGCTCTATGAATTCAGTTTGACTTGAACCTTTGCAATCTGGCCGTACCATTTCTTAGCTCTGACGATTGAAATAAAATACAAATACTGATTTCAATTACTCTATTTGTCGCGTTTTCAATACAAGTCTTTAAGGTATGGATGGAGGTTTTAATGACAAATATACATTTTTGGCTTGATCAAGGAAAGAAATTGAAGAATTAACTTTTATGGTTAAAACCAAAGTGGAAAATAGAAAACAGGTCTGTTACAATTGACGACTCTATTTCGCTGCGCCAATTAGCGCAAAAGTTTTTCCTGTATTACACTAGATAGCTGACTTTATTTAAGATCTTTTTTCTAGAAACAGCATCATGGCAAACCATAGTTAAAGGAAAAATACATCGGCTTTATAAAATTTCGCCATGATGCTCTCTTATCTTTAGCTGCTAAACAGCATCTCGTGCCCGAAGAAATTGCGTTCAAAAGTTTTGCGAAAGAGATCAGAACTTAATTTTTTTCCGCTGGAAAAGAAATTGGCATCTAGTATGAGATTTTTTTCGCACGAGATGCAGTTTAAACAATTTTTTGGCGGGAAATTTGAGAAAAAACCTTGTTAAATATTTTGGCCCAGAAAGTTGCCAGGGGAAACTCTGTGCAAATTGTCAAGATTTTCCCGCCAAAAGTCTTGGTATATATACGACAAATTTTTCTTGACACTTTTCTATTAATTTAATTCAAAATTACTTATCTACTTAAAGAGATTTTAAAATATTTGCTGATAGAAACACTTGTTTGTTATTGAGTGGCTATTGTAAAAGACAATAAAAGGATTGCACGAACTGAAAAATGACTTTATTTTCACTGACTTCTTTATTAGAATACAACAAAATAGAAACAAAGTCTATTGACATCTGAAGAATTACAAGAGAAATAGTACGAATTCAAAAAAAAAAAAATTCGGCGCATGCGTAGTTTTGAGCACCGTATTTTTTCTAAGTTTTTTGGCGGGAAAATTGGCCACATTTGAACAGAAGTTACTTACAGAACGAATAAAAAAAATTGGCGCACGCGTATTAGAAGCCTCCCGTATTTTTTCCGGGAGATTTTAATTTTTTTTTTTGTCCAACAAAATCGCAAAGTAAAATTGGCTTACATTTGTCTTCAAGTCCAGCTAGTTGTAAGCGTTGACTCGCCGCATTCTTGAGAAAAATGTATTATGCTTGTATTGTTTCCTCGGATTGAATCTTCTATCTTCGATGGAGTAAAAGTCTTTCTTGTTTGATTCACACTTGAAGAACCAGAAGTATACACAAGACGGACTAGTACTGCAAGATAGTAAAAATAAAGGATACATCACCAAACAGCAGTTTAATTTTTTTACAGAAACAACAACTTTACGCGAGATTTAAGCAGCATTATTAATTTATTGACTGTGCTATGCATGAACGTATCCTGAATCCTGCAATAAACCTAAACGTAATTCTTGTTATTAATTCGAAGAATTTGTTGATGTTGCCGTTGAAATTCCTCTGATATCATAACAGAATTAAAAAATAAATATCTCATAAACTGAGTTCTGAAATTTGGTTTTCGTCCCCAATCAATTGTCGAGTCAAAATTTAACTTTAAACAGATCAAATGCTGTGCTCTTTTGTTCATACTGTCCATAAAAAGCCTTTGAAATGTCAAATGGACAAACTTTTTGCAAACCTCTGTTCGCCGAATAAAAACACGCATTTTCAATTGTCTAAAAATTGGTGACTATTCAAATAACAATGAAAACTAAATTCCCCAGCCAGGTTTCTTTTTCTTTTTTTAGCGCAAAAAACTGCATTTTAAATCATTTTTTTACAAACTAGTTGAGTTTGTGAAGGTTATAATGTCATGTCATTTCGTTATCGTTCGCTTTGTTTCCTTTTAAGCGACCAAATGCGGCAAGATCGGCTGCATAGCTACAAAGTTTATCATGCCCTTAATTCAGTTCTTGCCTTGAAGAAACAATAAATTGCCTTTGGGATAACATGTACATCTTTGTTTTACAAAAGTATGGTGTTACATGAGAATCTTTGCCAAATTTTATTTTCTTATCTATATTTTCAACAATAATGCTTTAGAAATTTCAGGTTTCTCTTCGCTGAATAAAAACATGCATATACATTCTTTGGCATGAAAACAAGCGAATACTTGAATCAAATTAAATGAAAATGGAATCTCTGGACGATGTGTTTTTATTTTTGTTATTCCTGTGGCAACATACAATTTTAAAATCATTCTCTTTAAAAAAAAATTGGGTATCTGAAAGTCCATATTAATATTTCAAATTTCCAAATTAAATGCTGCACTCTTCAAATACATTTTTGGCTGGAAAGCCTAGAGCATGTCAGATTAAAGATTCGTTTAACTTATCATGCAAGTTTCTTTCCGCTAAATAAAAGCATGCATATAGATCCCCTCGTGCGTAGGTGAAACTCAGTGAATATTTGAATGACAATAAAACAGAATACCTAAGCGAATTTTTTTCGTTTGTTTTCTTCTTTTTAAGAGTGACTACATATATTTTCAAAATAACTTTCGGCAAGATTTCCGTATGACCCCATACAATTCTTGGATAAAAGAAAAACAACAGATTACCTTTGGGACTTCGGCTTTGATTTTGATTGGTATGGGGTTATAGGAAATCTTTCCTAACTTTGTACCAAATAATTGTGTTTCTGAAAGCTTGGATTCTATTTCCTATCGTTAGTCGAGTACAGTAATCTTTTATGTGGTTAACTGCTCTGATCTAGTTCAGATTTTCGATGAAAAAGACAAAAAAGACGAAAAAGATGAAAAAGTCTAAAAGGGTCAGATCGCATAATCCTGCTTTGTTTTTGCATAATTTTGTTCGTTGAATAAACAAATGTTCAGTTATATCCTCTCGCTCGAAAATAAGTGGGCGACGTTATACTGAGAAAAAAAAGCTGCAAACTGTTCTTGAGAGAATTATTTTCCAGAAATAACTTCGACTTATATGTTTGTTTAAAAATTTCAACTAACATTCTGGTGATTTAAAACTCTTTTAAACAGTGCTTGATATGAAGTAAAGTATCCTATTCCTGAGATGAATTTGTTCCACGTGAACATTTTTGAGTCATTGTTAATTGTTTTCATTTAAAACTGGACTTCATCACCTTCCCGATATCTAAATGAACACAAACTAAGCTATATACAACATCTAACCGTTATCATTCATTATGTATGTTCAAACTATTTCTCTGGACTACACTGAATATTTCTCGAGATACCAGCCAAAACTCTGCATTTTTGATAAGAAAAGAATAAATATGTTCGTCTCGAGTCTAAAGTTTACATGAAATATCTGGGCGTTCTTATTGATCAGAATCTCTCTTGGAAATACCACATTGGTACTATTGTTACAAAAATTAGTAAAAATGTTGGGCTACTTGCAAAGCTACGCCACTCTGTACCTCGGGT